TATTGCACTGGCGCTAGATAAGAGTTAACAAAATTCAAGAACGATTGGTCTTCAGACTGCTTATGGCAGTGTTTCTCAACCTTGGTAGCTTGAAAATGGGTGGACTTCACCCCCCAGAATCCCCCAGCCAGTGCTGCTGGCTAGGGGATTCTGGGAGTTGAAGTCCACCCATCTTCAAGCTACCAAGGTTGAGAAACACTGGTTTATGGGGTAGTAACAACTCTAGGCCAGGGTTGGGCCACTGTGGCCCTTTTACAACCTGTGGACTTCAACTCCCAGAATTCCTGAGACAGCCAAGCTGGCTCAGGAATTCTGGGAGTTGAAGTCCACAGGTTATAAAAGGGCCACAGTTGCCTACCCCTGCTCTAGGCTGATTCTTCTCTTCATTTTGCCCCCAGGCTCTGCCTGTCCTTCTCCTACAGCAACAATTATAACTTCTGTAGGATTATAAAGCAAAGTAACACTTCAACCATGACCTTTATTTTTAGGGATATCTCTAAGTCCACAGACATTATCTGGAAATAAAATGATGGCTGGGTGTAGCCCCATGCTCTGTTTGAAATTGTATTGTTTTCCCCAGTGGGTTTGAATCCTTGCTTTTTTTACAAACATGCTTCTCTTTAATTTATTTAAGTTTATATGTCACTCTTATCACAGTCCAAATTATCGTCATTTTAAAAAAAAAATGGCCTTAGAGTGTTCATATTTATAGCAACTCCATATTTATACCAGCTATATAGCAAACAGACATAGCAAGGTCCTCACGATCATGTATTTTCCTCCAATTAGTGGAAGAAGGCAAAAATGGCTGATTAACACAGAACTGCTGTAACATATGGATTAATGGGATATGCACAGTCAATATGCTATAGGTTTCCATTAAATATCCTGGATAAGTGGTGGAGGTCAATAGAATGAACGAGTGAGACCAGCTAACATGGAAATGCTCCCACTTTTACATACACAATTTGGAATTATATCGTTTTGAACTCAGACTTCTATTAAATTGGGATAATTGGATAATTGATTAAAACCCCATGTAGGGTTTTTCCCCCCCTCGCCCCCATGGTTTTAATCACATGATGGGCACGTGGGGAGTGTGGAGAATTGCTGAGAGAAGCTTGGATAATTTTATTTCAACCTGCTCCTTAATAAACTTTTATCCAAACTAGATAATTACAGAGCTCAGATAGTCTAGTGCAGTGATGGCGAAAAGGGAGCGCACGCGTGTGACACCAAGTGCCAAAAAGGGAGTACTTCGCACGCTTGTCAGGGCCACGACCAGGAAGAGGAGCTTGCCAGGGGCCTTGCGTGTGCTTGATAAGGTGCTTCCAGGTTCCGGTGCGTGCATGCGCACCGGCCAGCAAGTCTTCCAGTTACTGCCGTGTATGTGCCTGTGCCAATCAGCTGGGCGGTGCACATGCTTGCGCTGGAAAATGGAAGACCAGCTCTTCTGGTTTCCGGCACTGCCACATGCACGAAGGCCAGATGATTGGCATGTGCGCATGAGCACCAAAAACCTGGAAGAGGAATGGGCGATGCCACACGTACCAGGCGACATGGCTCCGCGTGCCACTTCGGGCGCCCTTGCCATAGGTTCACCATCATGGGCCTAGTGTCTCTTTGAAGAGGAAAGCCTGTCTGCCCTTTGGACACTCCCATCTCAAAAGTTCAAGGACTGCACCCTAAGCAGGGGTTTAAAACTCTGTTTTCCACAGCATTTTCATGCCTGCAATAGGCTCCTTTTGACGTTGAGAATAGGAGTAAAAGTGTCAGGCTTTTCCCCAAATGTTTGGGTAGAAAGATGTGCAAATACATCTATCTCTTTCTCTATATCAGACTGGAGATAATTATTGTGTCTTCTAGGAATCGCTGGCCTGAAAGCATAAACGGTTACTTTGTTTTGGTTAGCTGTCTTTTAAAAGCTCACCACAGTGTGCACTGTCCATTTTAACTAGGCCTTCAACATTACTAATTTAAAACCTGCCAGGATTTGCATGCCACTGCTGGGCTGCATGGCTTCAAAGTATTCCTCCGTTTTATTCCCTCTGACAAGACATTGGCTGTGGGGCCTTTTTCACTGGATCCTTCCTACATTACCTTCTGAAGAACAGAGCTGTTTTCCATGCTCAGGAACCAGGCCTTCCTAGGACTTATCACGCTTGTTTCATATTCTGCACTGATTAATTTTTTATTTCCCTTGTACCTGTGTGAAGAATAGTCAATACCATTAACAATGCATCAAGCTACAGTGGCAATTTTGTGGGAGATATAATTATGTGTGTAATTTGCAAAAGCATACCCTTTTTTTAAAAGTGTTGGAACCTAGCTAAAATTCACAGCTTCATTAGCAAACGTACATTTTAACTGTGTGTAAATCTGCGGCTAGCTGCCATCCATTTTCTTTAAACAAAAGGATTAGAGCATTTTTCAGGGTGACAACAAAGATGAACTGTCCTTGTCTGCCAAAATATGAAAAATAATAGGCTGACTTGGCCTTGATCTCTTTGGGTCCCACCATCAGCAGAGATTTAAAATTAGCCATAAAATTCATGAACATAATAAAGTCTTAATAAACAAAGTAAGTCATAAAATTATATTTACGCAGTCATGTCTGAATGAACTTAAAACTTAAGATGATGGAAAACATAAATTTATTTTCTGGCTTTTGAGAAGTTTATTTATTTATTACTTTTGAAACCATGAGATTTTCTGCGTCCAGTATGAATGTACACATGTCTACTCGTTTGAGCCAGCATTGCATCAGGGACCAATTGTTATTAACAGGGGCTTCCTTTATAAATGAAAATTAATTTATATAGCTCAAAATAAATAGAAATTAAGAAATAGCTGGTCCTATGAATGAAATACTATTTATTTTACAGAGTAAAGTGTCTCAAATGATATATCTAGTGAGGAAAATATTAATTTAAATAAATAATGCATCTCACTTAAAATTCTATATTGAACTCAGCTATGCTAAATCCACTTACTGCATACGAAATATGATTCGCATTTGCATGTATGCTTATAAGAAAATGTATGAGTGCGTAAGTGTGAGTATCTTACATATATGTGGGGGGAGGGCATGTGTATGATGGTGTATTTATGTGTGTGTCCATCCATCCATCCATCCATCCATCCATCCATCCATCCATCCATCCATCTCAAATATCATACTTAAGAATATCCTGTTTTGAATATCCTTATGAAATTATACATTTTGTCTTTTATTTCAAGAAGTGCATGTATATAGTTTGGTTTGTTTGTTTGTTTGCCCAAACTAAATCAGTTTGAGACAAATCTATTGAACAACTATAGTGAATCAGTAAGATGAGATTCCACACAACTCCTTGCTTTTGTCTATGGATATTCTTTTTTTTTTTCATGTTATATCCTTTATTAAGGACCAGATTTTCTGTTTTAATATAAAATCAATCATTTTGTTATGTTTTTGTAACATTTATTATTTTCGGCTAGAAGCCTACTTGATTATAAATAAAAATACAGAGGAAATCCTTAAAAGCAAAATAATTCAATATTACATTTAAACCATGAAGACTATATTAAAAGATGTTGCATACTAACAAAATACAAGGAAATTAAAAGGCATCAAGGAATGTCTATGGATATTCTTAGTCATGGTTGTCCCAAAAGTGCTTTTCAAAGCACAATTGGACTTTCTTTATTTTTTCCTTGAAGATGTTTTACTTTTCATCCAAGAAGCTTCTTCAGTCCCTGCTTTTCCTTGCTTTTCTATTCAAGATGCAAAATAGACCTCTAGATGGACTACGTTTTACAACCTGGCCAATGGTTTCAGGATATAATAGACAGATGGGTTCTTGTTATTTTCATTTAAAGCAATGACTCCAGATGCTCGGTTTAGGCAACTGAATACTTGCTGAGTGACAATGTTCCCAACTATTCTGTTCTGCTCTGCACTACTGATAGAGAAATGTGTGTTTCTGAAATTGTAACCAAGACTATTAAGATTCATAAGAAAGAGCTAGTGCAAATCCTTGTTTTGCTTTTTCTGCCTGTAGTATAGTGTATGCGATGTATGCATATCGCATGAGTACAGGCTTTGTGGTTACAATGGGGAGGACAAAAAACAACCATTAACCATCTAACAGCCATTCTCTATTTTCTTATTTACTCAATGAGAAACCTATTCAAGGACTAAGCTATTCTTATCCAAAGGCAAGGCCTGTTTATGTTCAACAGAGTGTTTGAAAGAACCGGAACAGCAATGGGCTAGCATACTCACTTGCACTTGAATTCTATAATTTAAATTCTGTAATAATGGAATTACAGACTCAGAGAGTTTGAAGGAGCCATTTAGGAATCCAAATTTAAGCACCTTGAATGATGGCTGTCTTGAACACGTCCAGTAATTACATTGGCAAAATGGTGAAAGGCCAGGGAGCAGAACATTAGTTTGAATTTTACCCCAATGTACACAAATCATAGGTTGGTGGGGTTTTTTTCTCCCTCTGTATAATTGAAATTAATGGACCAATGACTAGAAGAGTGTGTGTGTGTGCGTGTGCATGCGTGTGTGCAAGAACCCAGGACACAGCACTGAAATATCTCTTGTGATTGTTTTCTATTTGATTAGTTTTATTGAAAGGAATAACCCATCTGCTGATTTCAGGTACTGAGTGCATTTCAAGAGTCAGGATCCTTCTGTGGGTGCTGGGGTAATTGCTCCCTTTTTGCCCCATAAGAAAGGATTTTAAGCCAAGAGGAGACATCGCTTCATTCAGCTCTATGGTTGCTGTTGCTGAAGGCAAAAACAAAACAAATTCTAAATTTTATTGGAAAAAAGAGGAATGGCCTGATTTGTATTACTGCCATCTGGGATATATTGGTGGGAACGAAGTAACAAATTCATGGGGCTTTGAAATTGGAACAGAGTTCTGTTTCGAGTCCAGTTCTGAATGACCTGAATTTTTAAATGACCCCCCAAAGATTTGAGAGAGCTTTCAGACATTTTTCTACAGCAAAAGTATTTATTCAAAAAATAATGGCAAGCAATGGTCTGTCATAACATGACAGAAATTTCCACTGGGCTACCAGTTCTCTCCTCTGGCCACATTTATGATCACAAAGAAGGACAGAGCAACGAGTCATGTGCATCGGAAATGGTGGATCAAATGACAGGGTCTTTTCTCAAGTTTTCCCACCAAAAATAGAAAGCCTTCACTCTATACCTGGCCCCAAGAATGCCCTATTCTTGAAGAAGACCTCTGCACTTGTTTTTTCTTTCTCTCATCTTTTCATTCAGTTATCCAAAAGAAGATCTGACAAATTCTGCAGACCAAATTTTTTAAAAATGGAATGAATTAAAATGACATACAATAAAATCTCCACAGCTCCACAAACATTGAGGAATGGCCATCGTTACTATTTCTAGCTTTCTCGGCATTTACCTCAATTCTCAATTCCACCCCCCACCCCCCAACAATTTTCTCGTAATGAAAGTCCCACACGCTTAAGTGCTTATTGAGGTGATATTAATTATCTTTTAAATCTTTCCCACATGCCTTTGCATTGCCTCCAGCCACTTGGTTGATTGCTGTATTTGATGGAATGAGTCAGGCCGCAAAAACGTCAAGTCTATTGGGCGGTCATATGCAGACAACTGGAAGTCATGGCGAAATTGATGATTATATTTCAGTGGGATCAATAAATTTTGAGTAAACCAATTTGGGCTGACAAAAGGCTGAAATCTCTTAAGAAAATCTTAGGGAACCATGCCACATCTTTGTCAGGGTTACTTAGACATATAAATGCAGCATGAAATTAACTGACAGCCTAGATTAAAAGAAAAGAGAGAAAGGGAGACACGTTGATCCTAAATTTGAATACTACTTTTAAAACCTATTTTTTATATATAGGATTTTAAACTAGAAGTATTAATGAAGGGTCCTGAAGTTGTTCTGCAGCACATTTTTAAGGCCTTGATTAAATATAATTAAACAGTAAAGTCAGAAGTATATAATTGTGGTGAGGTTAAACATGTCAGATTGTGGTTAATAGTAAATTTCACAGGAAAATATATGTGTTTGTATGTGTGTATAAGATTTTAATGAAAGACTAAGATCTTATACATATACTCTCCAAAGGCCTTATATTCACCAGCAATGGACTTAATATTCATCAAAGAATTCCAGACAGTGTACAAATATAAGACATGATGAATTATCAATAACAACAAAAATACTTATAAAAACAGTTCTGGCTTCAAGATTATAGACATTTGACCTCCAAATGGCCATCAAGACCCAGTTTTTTTTCCCCTAGCCTTCAGAAAGCCATAAGGTAGGGACCATCCTTGTCAGGGGAGAGTCTACAATAACTCGCCATGGGACAACTCACCGCAGGACAAGAGTTACACTAATATCAAAGAATAGTGGAATAGAATCATTAAAGAAAGAATGCCAAAGGAGGGACAGAATGAAATGGCCATGGTCTGCTATTCTACTCCTCTGTGTTTTTCATAAAGACTATAGCATACTGTACGTTGCCTTCTAGAATGTGACAATCAAAGTAAATATTCATGAGGAATTCTGATTTCATTTTATTGTTAATTTTATTCATATGAATATTATCCCTTGTGCTTTTATTTAAAACAAAATAGAGGATTTGGCTGAGTTTGATCAAATCATCCCTTCCTGCCACATTCTCCAGAAGGAAAAAAACAAAACAAAACCTGCATTTCATCTCTGGTTAATGGCAAATCTCCTTTTCTTCTCCCTCTCACTTACACCATCATGTCAAGAATGCCAATTAAATATTCTGATGCAAAATGCTCTCGCCAGTGCCAAAGCCTAAATATTTTGTGCTAGCGTAAAAGATGTTGCTTCTTCCCTCTTCAGTGAATGTTGTTTCAACACAGCGCACTCTCCCAAACAGCCCCCTCCTCCCAAACCCGCTACCATCCAGCCAGCAGCACCCGGCCTCCTGTTCAGACAAAAACTCACATGTTTTCCTTTTGATTCTCCAAATGCTACCTTCCGAATTTTTCAAACATTGCAGTGCATTGAGAGCCACAGCAGATGGTGCTTTCTGATGAGGTCTTCCTACACGAAAGCAACATTTTGTAGTGCATGCTGCATTGTAAAAGGGGGAAAAAAATCAAACATGTAATTATGCAAATATGTATGCCTTTATAATAATCAAGTTTTATTGTAAATGGTTGATGCACATCAATTTGATCCTGTAGTGCTGCTTTAAGTGCAGTTTAAGTGGCTTTTCAGTGTACCCAGAGGCAACACAAATGCATCTCTGGAATATTAATAAAATCCTGAATCTTTGAGACACCAACTGGTACTGCATTGCTCATACTGATTGAAACTAAATGCTAATCCTTTCCTTTATTTAAATAGATCCCCTTTGTTATTTAAAACACTGATACCAGTATGATATGAAGAGCCATTTTATTTTAAATTGTATTGTAATGTAGTGGCTAAAATAATGCCTAATCATACTACATTCAATTTCTACAATGTAATTTTGATGAGGCATGAATCCAATCATTTTGCAGCTATGAATATAATGTCATATTTTAACCAGTCCATTTTCTGCCTTAATTCTATAAATTTATGAAGCAAATGTCTTCCACCAGATTTGAGACTTGTGTCCTGTAGCTGTGTTGTTAATTTCTGGAGAGCTTGTCTGAAAAAGTGAACTACAGGAGAATTTGTTCAAGGTCTCTCTTTCTCTCTCTCTTTCTTTTTAAAGCTTGGGCTGTAAAACAAAGGCAGCAAATGTTGTGTCTTTGATATACATACAATATTCTGTTGTGCTTAGAAATAATGTCCAACTAAAAGAACATGTTTAAAGAGTTCTAAATACTCAAATTTGGTTCCACTGATTTCATCCCTATAGGCAAGTCTTAGGAAATAGATATATGCGTTTCATCCGATAATGTCAGATTACAAATCCCATTACAATTGAATTGCCTGAGATTAACACAAATTGACATTCAACAGCATTTGATGGGTTGCAAGTCCCCCATTCTGATCTAAACAGAGGATCTCTCTTTCTGACCATAGGTCTAAGAAGAAGATTAAGCCAATCTTTTCTTCCTTTTCTCCTAAAGTTTGGGCTGAAATCAGATCTAAGCAGAGCATAATATTTTAGGTGGATGTCTACTCCTGAGATTTTCTGTTTCGGTTTTAAATCATGCTTTAGTGATGCAAAAACATATGTCAATGAGACGGGCATTTTCTAAATTTTATATATAAATAAAAATAAAATATAAAGTTCCTGAGATTCTGTAAAATCATGATCAAGTCACAGAACACAACTATAATCAATTTTAATATTCTCGTCTGGTAGAAAACAGTTCCTTACCTTGCTTTCATATTTATTTCTGCGTGTCTCTGTAATAGAACTAACTAGGTGTTTCTTCTTTCTGATTCCTTTAACCACTCCTGAGTGCCTAGGAGCTGGTGCTGAAATGGAAATTTTGTCTGGTTGATCTACTATCAGGCAAAATTCATCACACTCTTAATGCAATTCACATTCTTCTCCTTGTTCTCCCTAATTTCTATCTTGCTCTATTGGCTCGGAATCCTTAATAAAACTGTTGTACAATGATATTGGAGCTTTTATGAGAATGCTGAGAAAAGAAAAACTATCTGAATGTTGGCCTGACTCATAAAATAGTCAAATTTTTAAAGCTGGATTGAATTCAATAGTTTTAATTCTGAAAAAAACAACGGGGGATCACATAAAACAGAGCATGTTTCAAAAAGGTATATGACAAAAATAATTTTCTATAGAACTGAACACCCGTTTTAGAATGTTTTTACATTCTAAAATCTGTATGGCTAATAAAAATGTTTCAGCTTTTTGTTCCAGAGCTCAACAAAGTGTGTTGCTTGCAAGTTTTGTTAGTGCCACACACCTAGTGCAAACAACGCAGAAACACATAGGCGTCAATTAGTTGGAAATCAATTTGATGGATACGCAGGAATCTGAAATGCTAGTTTGTGGGTGGGGATTTATAGATGTACCTACTTCTTTCCTGATAAAGTGAAAAGCTAAAGTAGTTCCCAAACAGAGCGACAACGTTGCCCTTTAATTGCTTTTCTTTATAAAATTTACAAATACGCATTTCTCTACATTACAAAAAAATAGAATTGAGAGCTGAAGAGAATGTATGCAGTTCTTTCTACGGAGGCAAATAGTATGAAAAATGTATGGAAATGTTCAAAATGAAAATCAAACAGTATATGAATGGAAAAAACAAACTGTTAGAAAAAAGAGATAGTGGCAAGCAAAAAAACCCAAGCAAAACAAACCCTGGCTAATCTATGTTAATGGCATAAAGGAACGAGCAAGGTGTTTCAAGTCCAATAAATTAATATAATAGCCATGCCATCTATAGCTTATATCTGTGTTTCAAAAGAGGATTAGATGATGGAATGATACACAGAACTGAGGTTCTCGCCTAAAGATTTGTTCTGCCAAAAAAGCCACAACTTCATTTCATTGGAGCTTTGTGGAGTGAAAAGAAAAAAAAGAGAGCTTTAATTAGCACCTGATAATCTTCTATTGTGATATTCATTGCACTTCTGAAACCAGAAAGATCTAATCAGAATTTTCATACATGGCTGTTTTAACATACATCAGTGATGGCCTGTAGGTGTTTTTTTTTTTAAATGCCACCTTTTTTTCTTACTTTGAAGAACCTTCTGTGGACTCTTATTTTTTATCAGGCAAAATATTGTGAAGCGCAGAGATGCAACTTACATCCTTTGATTCGGTACAATATATTTCATAAAACACCTGCATTTCAATTTCTCAGAGCTTTGTAGATGAAAACATCTGATTAGAGATGTGTCTAGCAATTTGCGAGTGAAATGTGTGCTACATAAACAAGATAGAGATTGAAGGCAAAGAATTTGCTACCTTTCTCTTTGCTTTGGATCGTATGTAAATTGTGTTCCAAAATAGAAAATAAAACGATTTGATTCGTTTATTAAGTAAAACCTTTTTCAAGTCAGCCAGATAAAGCTGCTCTTGGAGAGGAATACAATCAGATAAGTTAAGGGCAGTCATCCCAAAGGGGGAAAAAAACTAAGAACAATCAACACCCCCCCAAAAAGAGTAGCCATTATTAAAAAATACTAAATACTGGCAATACTAAATACTGGCAATACTAAAGCCAGCTGAAACACACCAAGGTCTCTTAGATATAGAGACGACCCCACGGCAGCTTTGATGCTCTCCTGTTAGCAGCTACAAAGCAGCAACGCCTCACAAGAAAATGCTAAGAGGTTCCTGCTCCAAGTGGCTGGAGAATCAGGTTTTGCCTTTCTTTCATCTCAAGTGTAGAACAAACAAGATGGTTTTCTGCTGCTGTAAACAAATGCCTTGAACAAATGCAAAACTCTCCTTTTAAGGGAAGTGAAGGCCAGGAATTAGTAAGGATTTTCTTTCTAGCTTTGGCACTTTGTTTGGTCTTTCTTCTTCTTCTACTACTTTCCCTGGAAAAGTGCAGAGTGAATTTGTGTGGGATTGATGAGAGGATTTGCATTTGCAACCCCTTGGATTATGGCACAATCCACAGGCTCATTAAATGAGATGGAAAGAACAGAACTTGTTTGTTGTGGTTGTAAAAATAATTTCATAAGATATCAAAAAGTTAACAGTAAGAGTTCAGAAAAAAAGAATTCCAAAATTAAGGTGCCATTGTAAAGGAGGCCTTACCCATATGCTTGTACAATGTGCTGCTGTTAATTCTGGAATGCAAAGAATCACCTATTTTAAGCAGCTATTTTTTTTTTCCTTTTAATGGGTGGAATCAGGGTGGCTGAATGGAACTCAAGTGTTTACTGGCTGGATGCCCTTCCTGATGCCTATGTGAAGTTCACAGCAGACAATTACTCATTATGCTCAGAGACAGAAATATCTGCTGCTACCTAGGATTGAACTCACAGTCTCCTGATCATGAGGCAAAAGCTCCACCTCTAGGCCACAATGCTGTTCTAAAATCTTAAGCAGCTATATACTGTATATATTGATATTGGGTATAATGATGCCCCAAATCATTAGAATGTAATTGCAACAGTGATCTAGCTGAGAAGTTATTAATTCATATGGACATGCTATAAACAAACTATTCATCTCAGAAAAAAAATAATACCAGGAGGAGGAATGAAGCTAGCTACAGGGATTCTGGATCATATGATTACTTGATGCTTTAAGTAACAGACAAATTGTACCTGGGGCAATTTGATGACTACTCTCAAGCTGCTCTCATCCATTAAAAAAAAATCTATCCATTTCCTGGATGTTGGAACTATCATTCATGAATTAACGTTCATCTTATTGGGTTCCAGTTTTAGTTTATAAGCCAAATTTTTGCCTATTACTTTTTTTTCCAGACAGCTGCATTTTCACAGCTTCTGGTGAGCCCTTTGATGAGAAAGACTTAGAACATCAGCACAGAGATGATATCCAGTGTCAAATTTCCTGTTGGTGATAACATCTCCACATCAATTTTATTTATTCATTTATTTATTGCATTTTCATACTACTGGACTTCAAACAACACCTAGCAGTGAACAATATAGGAAAAAAAATACTCAAGGACAATACAATCAAGATGAAATGGCACAGTAAAATATAAATAGTTCAGATAAGCAATGAGCAGAATGGTGACAGTTCTCACTTTCAAAATATCCCCCCAGGACAATTCAATCTGTGCAGCATTAAGAGTCCAGCCTAATTCCAAGAGGAAGGCCATTTCTCATTATATATTATATATTAAACTATATTTTGGCTATAATGGAGAAACTTTGCTTGCAGTCTCCCCCCCCTCCCCTTTTACTTCACAAATCTGAAGGACTATTAACAGATTTTGATAGAATTTATTTACTTGGATGGGTCTTTTCTCTTACTCCCACATGAAGAAGACCTTGTAAATCTCTAGATACCAAGTCATATAGCCATAAATACTTTGACCCAAGCATTTTGAATTATATCTAAAGCCCACTGTTAACCAATGCAATGCCCATAATACAGATGTACAGTGGATATGAAAGTCTATAGGCACCTGTTAAAATGCCAGTTTTTTTGAGAGAGAAAATAATCAGACCAGGATAAATCAATTCAGATTTTCCCCCACCTTTAATATAAAACAGGAACTGCACAATTCAGTTGAAAAACAAACTGAAATCTCTGAAATGGAAGGGGAAGGGAAAGAAGGAAGAGGAGATGGAGGAGGAGGAGGAGGAGGAGGCAATGATGATGATGACAACTAGCGTTCCATTTGTCCACAAAAGGAGCAAAGTTTGCTAAAAGCATCTTGTGAAAGGACAAGAGGCAGGCAGCAGAAGAGAATGCCCTTCATATGCTCTCAAAGTTCCCAAAGTATCTATGAAATCCAAAAGTTTGATGACGTTAGCCTTAAACTATAGATGCTACAGAACACTCAGAAGTGTTATCAGGATGCATGCAATAAATATATATATTTAAATACTTCTTGATGGTTGAGTTCAATAAAACCGTACAGTGTTTTGCTTATTTATAGCTTAGCATCGTATGTCAAGCCTATTGTAATGTTATCAACTACGGTTTATGATTGGCATGATGTATTAAATCAATCAATTGTGATATAATTATCAAATCATGGCTAAACACATAGGGGTTTAGCACAATCTGTAAGCTTATTCATTGGGTTTTTTTCTATGCTACATCAACTTTACTTAGAAAGGAGGATCAGGTAAGGAAAGATGGCTGGCAGTGAGATTATTATAGTAGGTAGGTCTATTAAATTAGGCAGCAAGAATGTAGACAACATTGAAAAACAGGTTATGTATCTCTTTGCTGTCATCTACTGATCATCCTACTTTAATGGTCATCTAGTGGTTATCTGGAGTTTTGCAGCCCCAATATAGCAGCTCTAAGGTAAACCCACAATTGGGGTGGTTTTGAACTTGGTTTGCAATATGGATAATATGCAACATGGTTTACATATTATGTACTGAAGAACTTCTTTAAATATTCTGTCATTACAATCAATAGCTCTTTCTTGTAAGCCTATGTGCACAGACCCTCCCCGCAGACATCAGAAGTGTGGGGTTGTGTTTTTTTTTGTCCCATTCCCATATTTTATGGACTTCCTGTATGTTACACTAAAATTACTGCAGTTTAATTTTAAATCCCATGCAATATTGGCAAGAAAAACAACTTTTTCCTTTATCATTTGCTGATGCACGAATCCCAGTTAAGTTAAGCAGCAGCAAGGAAATAACTTGGGACATACATAAATACATTACTTGACTGCCATAGTTTTCCTGTAACTTTCTCTTGTCTGCCCTGTGCAGAATGAATGCCTTTACATCTTTCGAGAGCTTAGAAGACAGTTACTCTCCTATGGCAGGACAGAGAATATGATTCATTTAAGAGGCTCCA